GATAGATTAACATCCTTAGCAACACAAATTATTAAATTCATAAGATAGCTGCATAACATAGTCATGCTAGAAACTAGGAATGAAAGCAAAAATAATAGTTAACAAATAGTCCAAGTAATCTATGAGTGAGAACTGATTTGGCAACTCATTAATATATTGTAAAACATTTGATATACACTATAGGCAATTGACACACATTTCATAGAAGAAAAATCATTTTATTGGTTAATTTTGTGTAAATTATTTTTTGATTTTGTAAATTATGATTGGTTAATTCTGTAAATTATAAAATTATTACGAAATTATTTGATTATTACAAAATAAAGTAAAAATGCATTAATTATGATTACAAATATCTGAAAAGCAATAAATAAAATTTTTGACATGTAATTTATTTCAAATTAATTCTGCAAAATATACAAATACATAAATAAATTAATGACACTTGCAAATATAAATAAAAAAAAAAAACTATAAATTATGCTTATGCAATTAAAAAAAATTTTATAATAGAAGAAATTGCTATATAGTATTATTCCAAAGAACTGAAATATTATCAGTTAATTTTTTAGTATCATCATCTTTTTTATCATAATCTTTACTTGAATCAAGTTTACTTAGACTTTATAAAAGTGATTGTGCATGTTTATCAATAGAATCTTTAATGAAATCTAGATAATACAAATACTTGAACCTGTTTTGACTAAAACATATGTTATGATATGCATGACCTCATAGTAATATTTGTCCTATCTCCTCAGTAATTGGTATCTGTTCTGTATTTTCACTAATAGCATTAGTTATACAATTATTAAAATCAAATCTGACAAAGTAGATTTAAATAAAAAACTATATTTTAAGAGTAAATAACAAAGCTATACCTCTGTTATCTTTATTGCTAGAATAGAAAAACTTTTTATATTATGTTTTTTTCTTTTTTATTTCTTTTTAATAAATATACTGTGGCAACCTATGATAGAATTGAAAATGAAAGTTTTTTATTTTTAATATAGATCAAAATATCAGAAAAACAATTGAGAAAAAAGCAAGCAATTATTCATGTCAATGTTTCAATATTCCAAGATGAATATTGATAAACTGTCCAAGTTAAATTTGCATAAAATTCTCCTTAAAGCCAGTGTCATTAAATTGCAAATAATTAATAAATCAGACTTCTTTTATTATTTGTTCTACTGTAAAATACTTCACTGTATTGCATCATAAAAGGCTATAAAAGATTTCTACTGACATATCAAAAAATTTTGGTAATTCAGCTTTTATTATCTCTAAAATTAAATGATTTTTGAATTGCCAATAAAAGAAATCTGAAAAAAACATTAATGGTGCTTTAGTATAGTTTTTATGTTGAAATTTAAGAAAAAACATCCAAATATGAAAGCAAAACTCAATATAAGAATTATAATCTCCTGTCCAAAAAAAACAATATATAGATGTCAAGAACTAATGAAATTATATTATCTAAAAGGTTTTTAAGTGTCAAATATTCTGCATTCTTGCACCATCCAAATTTTATTTCAACCATCTTCGCAATTTGTTGTCATGCATTATGTAAAAGCTCTAATAATAAATTGATATGCTATGGTCTTGGTTTTTGAGAAAGATTTTTCTTTCGATCAAATATATATTTCTACATCTTAGAAAAGAATGGTTGATATTAAAGAAATACTAGTTTGTGACTATTCAATGAGATATACAAAAGACCTATCATTGGAAGAAATAATAAAATTTTATTAGTATTCCAGAAGAGTTACTATAAACAAGATACTGTGATATAGCCATCCTTAAATTTATTTGACTGAGCCAATCAGTGACAATGGGAATAACATTGCCATCTTCAATATATTTATTTATGATAGAAACAGCCACTATTCTATTAATGGCCTTGAGATAATCTTCTATTGAATGAAGTTTGCTCATCAACAGATCTACAAGGATAGCATCTTTCAGTAATTTTGTATTTCGTTTTTCTTTTAAGTGAACATCATAGCTATGAACTGTTAATTCTTTAAGTTTGGTTTTGTTATTCACAGAATGAAACCCCCAATATCAATTATAAAAAAGTGAATACAGTGATATAAAATAATTTTCAACACCATTTTTGATTAACATAGCATCAACTAATCTAAGATTATGAATATCTTGTTTTGGTATTGCTGGTAGAGTCTTGATCAGATTGAATAAAATCATGACAAGGTGTACTGGAGTAAATGTTTCAATTGTGGTAGACATTGCTATGATGTGGATACTATAATAGTTGTTAATATTTAAAAATAATGCTCTATCAGAACTATCTTTAAGATTAGTTTCTACAGTTATTAAATGCTTCTCAGACATGAATTCCTTATAATAAGTAATTGAATAAGATGTTGTTATCAATCCCAATGTTGCTAAGGTGTCTATTATCAAATTAATGTTTTTGTAGAATCTAAATACATTTCTAGATCACTTTTTGTATTGTTAACAAAATATTTCTAATACCGCAAATAAAATAATATAAAAATACTAATTGTTTTGATACCTTCTCCATTGTTTTTTTACTTTTTTTAAATGATTAGTTGATAAATATAGTTCATCAAAAAAAGATTTTAACTATTGATCTTTTGATTCCATTAATGTGCGAAATTCATCAAAATTCCAAATTAGTAACAATTCCTGATGCTTCCTCTCATAAAGAACATCTGTAATTATTCCTACAGCTTTTGAACAAGACAAAATATTGTTAGAAGTTTATGCAACATTTTCTACATAAATTTCTGGCTCACTATTACGAGACTCTTCTAATGCATGTTGTTGAAATTCAACTGCACTATTTATTACGATTTCATTGTAGCAGTTCAAGCATATAACATCGCCTAGTTGAATATAATTTGGCAAAGTATTATTAGTTTTGCCCTTGGAAATAACATGTTCTGTAACCGTTTTCCATTTATTTGATGTTTGTGCATTGCATTTTGTAATTACGCATGGACCGGTAAGTAGCATTTTGTCTTCTAAGTAAAGTATGTCAGGTTTGGGATTATTTTTGGATTATTTTGCACAGTGAAATTTGACACCTTTCTAAAGCTAACGATGAGGTTTGCGGTGATTTTTAGTTAGTGAAACGTTATGCTCTCAAAAAGTACTTTAAACCATATAAATTAGTTACCCGGGCAATTGATTTACACTAGCCAATCAGGCGAATTTCCTCCTATGAACTCGCATTAGCTAATCAGACAAAAGTTTACAAGACATCATATAATAAATTAACAGGTTATCTGGTTACCCGAAAAATTAAATTTTTCTCGTCTTTGATTATCATTCTATCAACCAATAAAAAATCCCACGAAAAAAAATAAAAAATGCCAAATGGTAAATACTCAACTTAATTTGCAATAGGTTACCAATTTTTGTGTCTAAAAAATTCTTGCATTTACTATCGTTAGTTATTGCAATTACGACATCGCTTACGTTTGCATTGTTTTTTGTATTCAAAATTATACTCTAATTACATGTCCGAATGCATGTGTATATCCGTTAATCTATATGCGTGATGAATTCATGTGTGAAAAATAACTAAACTTTGATGAATAAATCATGCGGCTATCAAACTTAAGATTTTGCAGACAAATCCCACTTCAAACAGCATATAATCCATACATTCATTACATTAGTTCCTGGTATAATTATTTGGTGACACGTAAAATATAAAAAATATACTGTAAATTAAGCATTACTATTAAGACTTTGTAAGCTCATAATATTAATTTGCAATAAATAAATATGAATATGCTTAATTAAGTTACAATAAATAAATATTAATATGCTTAATTAATCCATTGTTTGCGAAATATACTATTGAAAAAAATCAAATAAAAGTTATTTTATATTTTTCAATTACATGATTAATGAATACATTTTTAATTGTTGACTACGCCGGTGCTTTCGACACATCAAGATTAGGTTCAACAGCCAAATATATATTTTTTCTTCATCACTCTGTTCAATTGCTAATATAAATAAATAAATATATATGAATAAAAAAAGGTCAAAAATGATGTATAAATATAGTATAAATAATAATAGTCTACCCTCATTTATATCAACCCATTTGGATTGGTTTTAAATTATGTTTGATAGTGATATTAACGAGAAATTATATTAAAGTTGATATATATGAGGGAATTTTGATATATAAAAATTTATAAAAATTTGATTTGTGGCTTAGGTTGATATTAACGAGGTTGATACTAATGGGGGTCGACTGTATATACTTTCAAGTTTTCCGTATATTTGATAGCATATAGTACTAATAAATGAACATAGTACTATAAAGAGGTAGGGCGAAAGAAAAAGTAAAAAATCTATATTTTATGTATGATAGTATGTTAATTTAAAGTTATTCCTTTCTCAAAAATGAATTCGCAAACAGGTTGTATTATTTTACTGACAATCATTTTATCAACAAACCATGTAACCTACACATAATGTAACAATTTATGAATAATAAATGCTAAACATGTGTTATATTTCGCCATAAAGAGTACCCAAGGTCTCCTACAATTTATATATTATGAAATAAAGTTTTAAATTCATAAAGTTGTGGGATTAATAGACCTTGTAACATACTCAATAAATGTGGCGAAAAACAGAACTATACTAAATCGTTATTCTATGTAATGGTGGTTAAATAACTAGTAAATGAAATGACTGCCAGTGAAGTAATATTACTATTCACGGAATTCATTCAGAGCTAAATTAGTTCAATGACATTCACTTAACCTAAAAAGTCGGATCCAAGCAAGATTAAAGATGCAATATATAAAGGAAATAAAGTTGAGTTTGACAAATAAAATAGCCATTTGAACTTTTTTGAATTTGAACGTATCTGTAACACAGTAAAAAGAATTAAATTATCTATATAGACCACATAAATAACTAGACATATATATATATGTAATAAATATAAATAAATACCGTATGTAGCATGAAATATGAAATTGCTAATGGTAAATAGAATACCATGGAACTAACATAGAAGCTTCAAGAAATTCTAAAACTTCATGTTTTACATTTATTTTTGGAGGCATAAACCATTTATTGTTATGTTGTGGTTTAGTTGCCACGTCTCTTAATTGTGAAATTACAATAATCCAAATCAAATTAAGGAAGGAACTATGAAATAATTGAGCGTGTGAGAGAACATGCTGCCATATGAATTTATCTATTTGTAATGCCAAAAATGAAAAAATTATGTTATTTTGTTATAAAATATAAATTAATTTACTGAATCTAGTTTAAAAAATCAAACTTACCATTGCAACACCCGCCACTGCAACACTTCCCGCAAATGCAACTAGTTTAAAATAAAATTAGTTTCATGTACTTTGGGAATTTAATTTTAAGCAATTTACTTACGCTGTAAAACAACCGAAAATATTTATGATCAACAGAAGTAAAGGGAAACCAAACGAAATTATAATCAGACAAATAAAGATATAGAGATCATTTGAATCATATAAGTCCGGTGTAGCTATCCCAATAATTATAGGAATAAATATGGAAATAAATGAAAATACTAGTGCATCCAGGAGTCGTAGATTCTTATTCTATAAAAATCAAGCATTTAATGTAATTTTGAATTGACACGAAATTTAATATAATTATAAAAACTTACTGTAATATGCAGGGAAATAAAGTAAATGGTCAAAAAAAATATAATACAAAAAGCAAAGGCAGCAATTTCAAATCTGGGCACGGTTTTCTTCTTAGCAAGGTTTACAATGCTCCAAACGATTAAAATAATCACGCATACAGAATGGCATAGTGTTATTAAATAAAAGAATGATTTATATATTTTATTCGATTCTTTACACCCTTTACCTATACAAAACATGTTTAATCATAATGAAGGATATTTTTGAGAAAATAGGCATGTTGGAATTTATTGCTTTTTAAATATTTTTTAATGATTAGCTATTCGAAATTTATATGTGCAGTAATGATAAGTTAATAATATCCTTTAAACAACGAAATTAGGTTATTTACATCAGATCATTTAAAGATACACTTATATGTTGGTGGTTTAGAGTAAGGGATAAAATTGGTTTCATTTCTAAATTACGTTAAACACTTTAAGATATGAATAAACAAGATCCGTATCTAATAGGAATATAACAAGAAAAGTGATACAGTATTCAACCTCAAAAGCTAATTTGCATATAATTTGTGTAATAAACATAGGTTAATCACTGCGAAATATATTAAAAAACATCTCAAGAACCACAATTTATTTATAGGTATTATACATTGAAATCAATTATTTGGTTCGATATTCTTTCAACTCTAAATAAAGAAATTGTGTCGATGTTCTTACATCAACTCTAAATAAAAAATTGAGTCGATGTTCTTACATCAACTCTAAATAAAGAATTGTGATTCTTATATTTCCTATATTGAATATATACTTATTCATGCCTAAAATTAATAGCTAATGCATCAAGAAATTCAATTTCAACCGCTAATTTCAATCAAGTGCAACACAACTTCAGTACGTACGATATACGCATATGCTGATATAGAATTTAATATGTAAAATTTAATTTATATAAAGCCAAGGTAATTAAAAAAAAACCATCAAAAACGGCAGATAAAATGGAAAATGTCTGTAGTATTTCTATCCTTAAGATACTTTGCCAATGGATTATGTATATGATAATTTTTCTTTATGCAATAAACCTTTGGACAAAATTTATTTTCAGACCAGATCCTCCAAACGTTATGGTAGTAGAACAGTTTAATGATTTTAAATTCCCAGGTAAGTCAAATTTCATAATATTACGCAAATATTTTCAAATAAATATTTAATATTTATTATGTCTATTCACAGATCTTTTAATATGCCATAAACGTAAATAGCAATCTTTCTTATTTAAAAAAACAATTGTTCGAATAAAAAATTAATTTGTCTTTTATCATTAAATATATAGAAATACTTTTTAATTCAACAACGAATGATACAATCATTATGTACCAAACGGTCGTTTATAATAATCTAACTTCACTACAACTGCCACTTTTTGGTTGCAGGAACGTTACTCGTGGAATTCCTATAGATGATATCAGGAATTTTATTTCAGATTCATATCCAAACAATGTATCGAGACAAGACGCTATAACGGTTTTAAACATATCAACTGAAAACTCACAAAACCACTGTTAGATTACTTTGATCTTACCATTCAAATGGATAATACTAAATTAAATGATTCTGATCCTTATTCTATTAGGGGTAGCCACCCTATATTACGTGGCCAATGGATTACTTTAGAATTTTCTATAATAATTAAAACGTATTATACCGATTCAACAAAGGTTGGTTTGGTTTTAAACCAGATCATATATATAGGTATATCGAATTTAAAGAAACAAAAGTCCTTCCTTTAAATTCAACATACTCAATATTGGAATTGTCACTGGGCATGCCTCCTATTTATTTTGGATATGAAAATTTTCCAAAGACACGTAAAATTAATTTTTTTAATAATATTTATACTTCTTATTTTGATATTCGTGTCATATTATCGCGAAATAAGTTTCAGAGTTAAATTTTGTGATACAATTTTAGAGAGCCAATAATTAATTTTATTAATTTTCTTCAAAACATTTTTAAACTCCAATATTTATAATAATTTGACTCATTATCACTATGATAATAATAAAAAATATTGGTGTTTAAACAAAAAGGTTTAACTATATTAATTTTGGCTTTTTAAAATTTTTTTTTTATAACTATGGTTTGGAACCATTAGGATTATGCGTGTTGTATTTGCTCTTTTAAATTCGTGTTTAATTTCTGGGAAGATAACTAATCAAAATGAGAGATGGTGTTAAACAACTATTCAAAATCGTGCATTCTTAAAGTATTTTTTTATAGGACAATCTCCAAAATACGAACTGAGTCAGAATTTATTGGAAATACGCTGGCATTAAGTAATACTAGTCTGTTACGTCTTTAGTTGGATATTTTCGCGAATATTGAATATAATTTTTAGTGACATTAGACAAGATTTGTTAATTTCTACTCAAATGACCGCAGTTCCAACAAATCCTGACCCAGAAGTTGGAGACTGCCCTGTGAAGAGTTTTCTTTATAGTATAGCAATTCTTAAAAGGGTTTAGCAATTTGATTCTACAATCTAAACTCAAATTTTATTCTGTTACAAACGTTTGAAAAAGGTATAAGCTTAATTAATATTCAAAGACTATTGACTTTGACCCCGACGCAAATAAAAATTACTATTAGCAATACAAAGTTAATTATTTGTTTCTCACGACTCAGTCGAGTGATTTTTTTTTTTACAATGTTGATAAAACTTTTATGATTTTGTTTTAAGTATTTTAATATAAAATTTAAAATTAAAACATAAATCAGTGTTATGAGAAATAATTAATTAATTTCCTTGATATACAACTAATATAATATATTTTTTATTAGTCGGTATGCTGCTATCTGAAGTTGGTGGATTGAGCAGTTTATTGTTTTCAATATTAATATTCTTTTTTGGTGTTTCAAAACTTAGTCCATGGTAAGTATAAGTATTTTATACCTTTGAATAAAGATTCTAAATATCATTCTCGTCATATTTATAAATTTATTTTTAAATTTTCATAGGAACTGTTGTCAAAAATATTCTGTATATAGACCACTACTTCGATGGGCTAAAATGAATTTTGTTAAAAATTATATTAATAAATATCCATCTAGAATTTTATTAATTGATCATTCAAAAAAATTTAGAATACAGAGATTTGGAAAATCAAAGAATTCAAAACATTCAAGGTTTAGAAGATATTCTAAATTCAGAAGAAATTCAAGATTCAGAAAAAATAAATGTATTTACAAATCGATTAGCTACATTAAAAAATCGATTAGATGTATTAGAGGATTTGTTGAAAACATTTTATCTTGATACAAGTTTTCTGGATCATGTTAAAAAAGTACGTAAGGAAATAGTAAATGAAAAGGGTTAAAACCATATTGATGAATAGTAATATTTTTACTTGTAAATTTAGTAGGCTATTTAATTAGGGTAATATATAATATGTTGCATTATAACCATGAATATACATTAGTCAAATTTTTACTTTTATATCATTATTTATATGTATTATTTTTAGTTTAATTTATGTTAGCTATGAAAATTTTAAATAAATACTTTTACTTTTATATTAAATTTTAGACCCGTATTCATTTTTAAGCAATTGATACTTGTACACATAACTTCAGTTATATTGTTAATATTCTTTAAATTTAATAAAAGCATTTTTCTATTAAGTAGATAAAGTTGAACTTTAAAAAAATATTATATAATAATATGGTTTATTAAATTTAAAAATATTGCCATGAAGGAGTGTGGTGACCTAGTGAAGTGGTCAGGTTGTCAACCTTCCAAGTGGTAGGTTGGGTGTTCAAATCCCATCAATGGTGAAAATTTGAATAATCATCTATGTAATATTCATATTACAGTAACTGTTACTAACAGTTGGGTTAAGATATCTGTAATGGTGATCACATCAGCATGACTGGCAGGTCATAGGGCATCTGTACAATGTTGAAGTTATACAGAGGAATGCAAACTGACATATTGGGTAGTGCAAACACTAGATAAGTCCTTGTGATCATGTAAATCTGTTGAAATTGGATAACAAGAAGTTCATTTAGGAAGACCCGAGTAGAGAGGTAGCTGGATTTTTGACAGTCCTACTGTAAAGGTTAGCCTGACAAAACAGATATTTAGGTCTAGTATCCAGTCCTAGTAGTCAGATGGGCAAGAACCTTCAGGTTGAGAAGTCTCGGAGGTACCACCAACCAGGCTGCCAGAATGAACCAGGAAAAAAAAATATCAGGTCAACCTGATATGACAATAGACTGGTCGTAGTTCTATATGGGTTATCTGGATTTGAAGTTTGGTAAAAGGGCAGAGAAAAAGGCAGGGGTATACTAAAGTACCAAGATTATGCTGTGAAATAGATGCTGAGATCTAAGTGAACTCTACAAGGGCATAGCAGTTTAATGGTTAACCCTGACTGTAAGTATTAGTTCTGTCATAACAATACCTAGGTTAACTGTAAAAATGGGTACAAAAGGCTCTGAGAGGTTTATCTTGAGGATAAATTAGTTCTAAGATTGAGACAATGATCTGGACATCTGGGTATGACCCAGTGATGTTAATACAGGTTACAGATTTAGAGGGTTTAAAGTGAAACACCCAAGCAGGGGTGTTAGGTATGGCAATTGGAGGGAAACCTTTGGGTGGACTCCTTAAATAGATAATATAGAAAAGTTACACATGTAGTCAATTGTATGCTCTCCTGTAGTGGTTTATTGAACCACAATACTGATAAGTGATTAATAAAAGTCAAAAGACCAAAGAGATTATCCTAACACCAAAAAAAAAAAATAAATATTGCCATGAGTTAGTATAAATATACAAAAAGATTTCATAAATAAATATTTAATTCCAAGCTTGTGGAATTTATTAAAAATTTATATAATTTTTATTAAGTTTTTTTTGTGCTATTATTGCTTAAATATTCAAAAATTCTATTAGAAAAAGATTTGATACATTTTTATTAATTTATTCCCTATATAATAATAAAAAGCTGTGCTTATATTGGATGTTTTTAAGTCTAATAATGTAATTATATAAAATATAAAATAATAATTACAACCATTGTTGATAACTTTTTGCATCTAATAAATATGTTCTCATATAAATAAAATTAAACAAAGTTGAAGTTTCAAAAAAAAAACATTTAACATATATGCAATTTAAGGAAATTAATAAGAATAACCATATACAAAAATATATATATCAAAAAAGTTGAAAGCAAAATTTATTATTAATCAGAAAAGAAATAAATTCTTATATTTATAGTACATGTTGTTATCAATAAAAGGCCTAATGTCTCCAATAACCAAATTGAGGATACATAAAACTTTGAGCAGCTTAATTAAATTTCATTATTAATTTCTTTTTATTATTTCCTTTTTTAAAGATTTTCAGGCTCCAATGAAGTCAATGTTGTATTTACATGGAGTTCACGGAATGCCTTTGCAAGTTCTTTTTCTCCTTCAACCTCTAAATTATTATAACAAATATTTAAAGAAGTTAAAGTGGTATTTTTGCTAATAGCTTCTGCAAATGCTTTTACGCCTTCGAAGCCAAGATCACAGCAGTTAAAGTTTAAGGATTTTAAGGTAGTATTTTTAAAAAGGGTTCTTGCAAATTCTTCACCTCCTTCAAATCCAATTTTATTATGACTAAAACCTAAACAAGTTAGAGTAGTGTTTACACTGAGCATCTTTGCAAATTCCTTTCCTCCTTCAAATTCTATTCCATTATTACTAAAATCCAAAGTAGTCAGAGCTTCATTTTTGCAAAGGGCCTTGGCTATTTCTTTTCCTCCTTCATCACCAAGTTGATTACTACCAAGATTTAAAGAAGTTAGAGTAGTGTTTACACAGAGCATCTTTGCAAATTCCTTTCCTTCTTCAAATCCTATTTCGTTATTACTAAAATCCAAAGAAGTCAGAGCTTCATTTTTACAAAGAGCCATTGCAAATACTTTTCCTTCTATAGTTCCAATTCTATTATTATTAAGAACTAGAGATGTTAGCGTAGTATTTTTACAAATAACTTCTGCTAATGCTTTTCCTCCTTCAGTTCCAATTCTATTATAAGCAATATTTAAAGAAGTCAGTGTAGTATTTTTATAAAGAGCCTCTACAAATAATTTTACACCTTCAGTGTGAAGGTGGTTATAGTTTAGATTTAAAAAGGCCAGAGTAGCATTTTTACAAAGAGCATCTGCCAAAGCTTTTCCACCTTCAACTCCAATTCTATTATGACCAAGATTTAAGGAAGTCAGTGTAGTATTGTTATAAAGAACCTCTGCAAATGCTTTGGATACTATATGAGATTCACGGATATAATTTTCAAATTCTAAAGAAGTTAGAGTAGTGTTTACATGAAGAGATTTTGTTAATATGTTTATTTCTTCACAGTCAAGTAAACTGTAATTAATACTTAAAAAGGTTAAAATTTCAGATAATTTAGCTTCTCTATGATCAAGTAAATTGCAAATAACTTTAAATAATTCTTTATGCTCACTAAATGGGATTCTTATAAATTTTAAATAAGTAATATTGATATTTTTGTAAAGATTATCTACTAGTAACTCGGTTGTTTTATCATTAAGAATTTGGTCAATTATTAAATATTTAAGCTTTTTACTTGTTCGTAAGAACATAGAAATTAATGAACTTCTAAGTGCAACTTGAGCATCTTTAGTCCAATGGCTTCTATAAAAAGGATTATAATCTACTCCGGTACCAATCCACCTTCTTATTCCTTTAGTTAAATAACTTCATCAATAGATGTAATATAGCTTGTATATTCAAATAATGTCGTTGAACTATTTGGAAGTTTGACTTTATTAAATGGCGATAATAATTCTTGTTCTTCGGTATTTAATTTCAAAAGACATGTGTTTATAAATGACCTAGATTCAAAATAAACCGAAGGTTCTCTCCATAATATTGGAACAACAATTCTACACCAATTACGATTTACGAGAATACATGAAAATAAATTTCGATGTTGAAGATTATTAGATATTTTATAAAGGCATTCATTTGGTAAATTATTCATTTTTGAATTATTTCAGTCATGAATAGAAAATGGTAATTCGGAATTTATTAATTTCTTACAATGTACATGGTACAAACTCCAACAATGCTTCTTTTTTGGTTTATTATGCCAATGCATGACGGTGGTAGTGTTACGGTTATCACAGAATTGTGCTTACATTTGTTATAATGCATGTTTGGTTTAATATAATGATATTTACGTATTAATAAAATAAAAGAGTGCGATAGCAAATTTTTCTACATACAAAGTAGAACGAATTGCAATAAAATATTTTCAAAGAAATTTGTCTGTTACAACTAGTTAAGAATGCAATACAAACACTTATGTAGTTTAGCTCCAATTTGCTATAGAAAGAATTGAGACTGTATAACGGTTCTAATTAATACGAAGCTTTCTTTTCAATTAAATAAACCAAATATTTCATATGTTTATAATGTTATATAACGTTATAGGCTTTCACTTCCGATATTTAAAAAAAAAAAAATTTTTTTTTAATTGCTAATTTGGTTTGTTTTTTTATTTTATTTTTTTTTTTTTGGCAAATTATATTAGTTTTAACTCAAATACGCAAAACCATTCATGTTTCTATTTCTTAATGTTTATTAATTTTTGGCTTTACTAAGGTTACTGTAATTACAATATCTCATTTCTCTTTAACTGGATAAGTTCTGATCAGGTGTATCGCGTTGTTGATTTTTCTTGAAACACATGAAATTACTTCAAGAATCTATTTTTAAGATTAATATTCTCAATTATCACGTTTTTTCAAAATGACTTTTAGGTTCTAATTCATCGTAGCTTCCAATACTTATGGACCGATATAGGTATTCGTTAACGTGGGGTTATATCCAATAGTTCGTTGGGTTCTAATTTTTATTGTGGCTTTAGCTTTTAAAATAGCGAAGTAACAGTTTACAATATTAAAATACGAATCTGTAATGAATTTTATATCTTTTTTGCAAAAGGAATGTTTAGAAGTATTTATTAAGTAAAATTTCGATTTTTGTATAAATTAATGTAAACCGAAATTAATACATAATTTCTTTAGCATTATCACTTACACTATTTCACAGGAAAATTTGCCTACGAGTTGTATTTTCTTGACAAATTATAAGCTAAGGGTACATGGCATCATGAGAAGACTAAATCGTTTGTTCGAAAGCCCTTGGAAAATTGTATTCTTTTTAGCACACAGTCCTAAATATTAATAATCTTATGTACGTATTTGTATTGCCAACATAATTGCAGAACTTTGGGAGGCTAAAGGTGATTAGGTATCTATGTACCGGTAATTCGGTTTATAGAGTAAGGGATAGT